TATGGGTCCCAATTGAGGAGCTCGAGTAGCCGGCATTATGGTTTTAGTCACTGGCAGGACCATGGCTTCCTCTGATGTTCGAATATTGCACCTAGTCTGCAGGCGTTCTGTTTCTCCTAGGTCAGCCACTAACTGGGCAGCCTGCTGGACTACTGCTTCTCAGGCCACTAGGGGATTTAACATGGAGACCAATGTACTGTATAGATGGGAGGGAGCTTGTTGTAGAATTAAGTCTCTCATCCCTGCTGAAACTTTGACCATATCAGGGCCATCAAATGCGTCTTCATAAATTGCTTCCCTTACACCTAGTTCACGGATGTAATTTTGAAGGTCCTCCATGGAGGACCACATCCCTGTACATAAAGAAATATCAGATTCATTGGGCCATACCATACGGCAGGCCCCCATTAACCATTCTAGTATACAATGGTTTTCATCAGTATATTGATTACCCGCATATAACCTATGCCTGAGAGCAGGATGGATGGTCATAGTGGCCAATTTGGCTATTTCCGGCCCATTCACCAGAACACTTTCTGCCCCAGAATCCCACAGTCTTAATAACCAAGCTGGCACACTTTCTCTATGTTTTTGCTGAAATCGCTGTACCTAGTCCATCAATTCTGTTGCCGTGTACGGCCGGGCTGTTACATGCAAGTGAGTCTGGGCAGGGGGCCAGTGATCAGACAGCACCCCTGCCAGTCTGTCCTGTACCTTTTTCATTTTTTGAGTTATAACAGGACGGACTTCTAGTGCATCCGTCAAAATCGGACATTTGAGATCTGATTTAGATTTTTTATTTTCCTGATCACCATGGTCTGTTGATTCAGGAGCCTGGTCATTGTTTATTGACATGTTACCAACTTGACCTATTGGAAGACGTAGAATTGTTGTTTTTTTTTCCTGTTAATATGCCAAGTTCTTGTTCTACCTTTCCAATACCATCTTTCAAAAGTTCATTTTCGTTCACTCAAGTATTATTCCTCTTTTCAGCATGACTTAAAGCATTTAATAGTGGCCATGCCACTGTAGAAGCAGCTAATTATTTTTCTCTTGTGACTAATTTATCTTTGCCTAGTTCCTGAAAGTAATCTGCCAGGCGATATGGGGAAACATTTCCCACAACATATAGGGGACCCCATTTTTCAATCATAACTGCCAGTTCATAATAAGGGCATCCCACAAATCCTAGGATCTGCCCTGGAATCATTTTATCTGGGGGGTAGTATTCTCCCCCTCGACCCATTTATAGAAATTCCAGAGAAAGAACATGATGTAAATTCTAGTATATTTGGCTTTCCTGCCTGGCTCACCAACTGTATAATCAAAGATTATTTAGAAAGTGCATAATCAAGGAAAACTGTATAAAGGAATATTGTATTATCAAATTATATTACAATGTTATAATAATGAAACAAACAAGAGAGTTAGGCAAATCAAGACTAAGTGAATAGTTAGGATGCTTACCCATATCGTGGGCTCACTCACAAAACTCCAGTGGAGTGGATCTCCAGAAGAAAGATCCTTCCCCACTGGTAGTCAGCTCTTAAATGGATCTAGGAGAGGTGGAGCCAGGCTCCACCCCTTCCTGCAGCACCGGTGAATTGCTGTCACCTGTGCTCCCCTGGCTGACTCATTGCTTGCCTCAGGTGATTAATCAGAGGTTCAGGCCCTGACTCAGCAGTTTCCATACATCATGTTTCAGATTAACTGAGAAAAAGAAAGTATTCGGATTTATGTCCTGCACTTGCCTTTAGCATCCAAGTTACATTAACTTGATCTAAAGAAAAGAGGATAGGTCATCCCATCTGGGCAAATGCACAGGAAAATGAATAGTCAGAGAATCAGTAGTAGAGAGAAAGATTAACTCAGGATATAAGAGGAAATGAAAATATCATGGAACTTTTAAAAACTATTTCAAGTATCTTTGGAAGACATCTTAGAGAATCTAGAGGGAGAATAAGCAGTATAAAGGAAAACAAAATTTATTGTTTAATACTAGCAATATAGTCCTTGGAAAACCAATAGATTAGAGTTACTGAATTCCTATGTATGGCTTACTGCACTAGGTAACTCTTGTATTTGTTCCTTTTATGTGGGCACAATGGGATGCCAATAACACATGGAATGACTATGCGGCTCTGGTGTCAATGACATCCTGAGTCTGTGGCTGGAAAAGCAGTACGCTCTGCAGAGCTTTCCCTGGGAGCCTTGCTGAGACCAAAGTACATCTAGTTTCAGCCTACAGATCTTAACCAGGTTCAGGATTTAGGAAAAATCCTGGATCCAACTTCCTCCACACAGTCACTGAGTTAATCTTACAGCTTCTGGAAATCTGGGTCAAGAGGAGATGTTAATCAAGAGGAGATGTTAAGTGGACATATCTGAGCACATGCATTTTAGCTTGTGTTTAGCTGGCAGTGCCAAGCCTTTCTTACTACCTTGCTTAATCCAAACCATGTTCTTTACTATGCTTATCAATCTCAGAATTGGGCAGACTTATAATCCCAGGAGAAATACTACTCATTCACATGGAAGCAGCTCAGAGTCAAGTGCTGGATCAGGCCAGTAGCCCTCACAGAGGCCAGAGCTGTGGGAGCAGAGTTCACAGACACAAGCTGCCTTGACAGATCCTCTGGGGCTATGCACCGAGTACTGATGACCCACTCAGTCTCCGCATGCAGACAGAGTAATTTCATAGCTGTTTCATTTTATTACTTTCAGTATCCCAACACCCTGTTCAATGGGTAGTACACTTTGACAATTCGACAATTTCTTACTTTGCAAGTGTGGTCTTATTATAATCTTCATTGCAACGCTAAGTAACATGTCATCATTTAATAGCTCATAAAAGAGCTAGTTTGTACAGAAATACAATTACTGAATTATTTTAAGATAATTTTGTAGCTATAAAATGTATTATTTTCTATGTAGAAAAAAAAATAGGCCCAATTCTTTCCACTGATTCTACTTGTTTAACCTCCTGCCCTCCAAGTGAAGGTCTACTGAAATTTGCAGTTATTTACAGAAGCACTCTTTGTGCAGATGGCTGGAAATCAGAGCCATAACTCCCTGAACTAACCTCTATATAACATTAAATTCATAGTATTTGCACCTAATCAAAGTTTTATTTGATCAGAACGTGTGTGATTACTTGTCACTTGAATTGCAGAGGTACCTCAATAGCATACACCCAAAAAAGTTATTAAATCATACCACAATGTTCTGTTTAATACTGACAATTATTTTCTTAATCAAAGAGACATAAGACATTTCCACAATTGAAAGCACACTATCTTTACTTTTTGTGGTATTATCAGTGTGTCAAACTAATAGCTAACACATACACAGAACTTATTATTTTGTTTTCACCTCAAGTAAACTCTTGTGATTCTCCAGATTATTGTCAATAAATCCACAGAGCATTTTGCAGAATCACAGAATTGTAGGGGTTGGAAGGGACCTCTAGAGATCAAGACCAACCCCACTGCAAAGCAGGCTCCCTATAGGAGGCTGCACAGGCAGGTCTTGAATATCTCCAGAGAAAGAAAATCCACAATCACCCTGGGCAGCCTCTTCCAGTACTCCGTCACCCTCACTGTGAAGAAGTTCCTTCGCATATTGGTGCAGAACTTCCTATGCTCAAGTTTATGGCTGTTTCCCCTTGTCCTGTCCCTACAGACCACTGAAAAGAGGTTGGCCACGTCCATTTGCCTCCCACGCTTAAGATATTTATAAACATTAATAAGATTCCCTCTCAGTCTTCTTTTCTCAAGGCTGAACAGACCCAGCCTTTCCTCATAAGGGAGATGCTCCAGACCCTTTATCATCTTTGTGGCCCTCCACTGGACTGTCTCCAGGAGATCCCCGTCTTTTTTGTACCAGGGAGCCCAGAACTGGATACAGTACTCCTGGTGAGGAGTCCTGATCCTTTGAGCTCAGCCAGTTCTCAATTCACCTCACTGCCCGCTCATCTATCGCACACTTTCTCAGCTTTGTTATCAGGATGTCATGAGAGAGAGTATCTTCAGCCTTGCTGCAGTTAAGGTAGACAACATCCACTGCTCTCCCCCCATCTTCCTAGCTGGTGATACCATCACAGAAGGCTATGAGGTTGGTCGAGCTCTCTAACTACCTACTTTAAATTCTAATCCTGTTAGTCTTACAACAGTTGACCCAGTAAACTATGAGGGGGTTGTAAAATTCTAATGAGACATTCTTTAACATAAATGCATACAGTTAAAACACTAAACTTTTGAAAAATTATCACAGAATAAATGTTAATACTGCTTCAGTAATCACCCAGTCTTTTCCCTTTCTTTTGGAAATTCCTAGCTTGATACTCTAGTGTTATATGATGCATTTTGTTTCACTAAAGGTATAAGAGCAGCAGACTCAACTTAAACTCATTGTCATGGTTTCTCATTTTTGGTTATTGGTATTCTACATCATAACATCATGTAGTGCACTGGAAGTTAAAGAGTTAATGCTCCAGTTCCAGATACCTGGTTCTCAGAAGAGAACTACATACTACATACCCCAGAGAACTGTGCATTATTTGTGTTTCCATTTTCCGCTCAGAGAGAAAAATTTTGTCCACAGATCTTTCCCGCCCCCTTTTTCAATCATCTGGCTTGTCTCTGTTGTTAGCTTCAATTCCAATTATATTTTATTATATTGTATTATAGTGTGTTATCTTGCATTCCGAGATCTTATTTAGTAATTTAGTTTCTCCTCAGATTGTTGCCACTCTTTTGTTTTGAGGCCCATCTTTCTACCCTTTTCCCTTTTTCCTCTTTTCCCTTTCCTGGGGTGTGGGTCCATGGGTTCCCTCACCCCGCTAGTCATGGAACTGGGCTGAACCAGTCCATAAACTGTTGACACTCATATAGAAAAAAAGCATTAAATCCAAACTGAGGAAATCTACTCTTCAAGGCAGTTTGTTCTATGGTGAAATTAAGCTGCATTTTTTAAGATACTTTTGACTGCATGTTCAATTTTTAAGACCAGCAATAACTATTCATCCACATAAGCGATTCAGATTATGTCAAACTAACAAAAGGTCACAGTGATAGAAATGTATACAGAAAAAACAGTGTGTCACATACAATCAAAGAACTCATCTGTTCCTCATTAATGATCTGAAATCTACTGCTCAGTTCCTCAGATAGCTCTGGAGGACTGGTACGGGATACAGGAGATGCAGGAGGTGGTGGCAACAACAAGCTTAAGGAACCTCCACTTGCACTTGCCTCCTCTGAAATGGCTTCCCAAGGCTGACAAAAGAAAATAAACTGTGTTAATTATTTGAAGATGAATTAAGTCTCTCCCTATGCATTCCAGATAACTACTTCATTGCAACAGAAGTGTGATGATCAGCCTTAATTTTTAATGAAATAAACTAATCCCTAGAACATACAAATAGTCATTCTACTCAGTATGAAGCAGTCATAGGGAAAAAATAGTTTTCTTGTTGTCTTCAAAACAGACTTAAAGGTGATGATGAAATGAGGCATTATGATTCAACAGAAAAAATGATGCAGATGAAATAATGTGTAAAAATCAACTCTCATTAAATAAATTCTATTAGAAATTTTGTTCAAAATTGCCTTAGTTTCATCTGGGATAGGAGTTGTTTTTCTTCATAGTGTCTGGTATGATGCTATGTTTTGGTTATAGGAGAAAAACAATGTTGATTACACACCAGTGTTTCTACTTGTTGCTGAGCAGAGCTGTGAAGGAACTGGGAAGGAACAGAATCAGGAGAGCTGAATTAAACTGGCCAAAGAGATATTCCATACCATATGATATCATGCAGAAAAAAATCTTGAAAAATTTTGGTTGTGGTTTAACCCACTTTAAGTAATTTTGCACTCTAAGAACTTGTAAAAAAAAAAAAAAAAACAAACAAAAAACACTAACCATTTTAATTTAGAATGAAATGCATAATACTACTCATAAGTATCTGCAAACAGATGATGAGTGCAATAACAACTTCAGCACTCTGTTGCTCTGAATGCCATTCAGTAAACCAAAACTTTAATGAAGAATTTTATCAGTGATTCACACAAAATATTCCTTAAGTTTGAATAAGAGTTTTGCACAGAAAGCTCACTTTAAAATATCTACCAAACTTCATTTAGTTATTCTAGCTGTAAATTAAACATGCTGACTAACAAGATCACAGAATTTTAAATAGAATCAAGTATTTTTTGAGGGGAAAATAGCTTGCCTTTCTTCTAACTCAAGACGTGGAAGAAAACTGAAACAAATGACAGTTCTGTTCAGTACATTTCACTTCTTACAACTTGTCCCATTGTTATTCATTGTAGAATATTGCAAGTGTTTTTATCCACTTATATATAACAAGCAATGCTTGCTATTATAAATGTTTGTCTTAGCATTTACATGGTATTTAATATTGTGCATACATGATCAGACACCTATAAAAGCATGTGTGCATGAAAGTATAGCTCTGTTTAGGATTTTTATTTTACTCAGGCAATTTCAATGAAAATCATGCAAAATATATTATGCATGTTGTATAGTAATTAGCTTACAAATGAGAAACTTTGGCATGAGGTTTAGTTCGGTTCTTAAATGCAAGACTTCTATGTACCTCAAGAATGCCTCCAATCTCCATAGGTTCTGGTTCCAAATCCTCACTAATGTGTCTCCGAGAGCGAAACCGCCTATGGGCTGCTTCCTGGTTTATTTGTCTGATGTTGTTATCTGAATCAGATCCCACATCACTAGATAGTGGGGAAAAGAAGCAAAGGAGAAAAGAACAACAACGAACATTAAACTAAAACACCTCCTCATTCATGCTTTTGATTATAATTTAAAATTCAAAACTCTTGCATGTTAGGCTTCATAAGTAGGAGGCAATTTAATCCTTTAATCCAAATAAAATAAAACCAGAAGCATTTCACAAATGTAATGTAAAACTGGAAATTAATATTCTTTGTACATCAATGTTGTCAGAATAGAAAAATAAGTCCCCACTCTAACATACTAACCCCTTATAACTTATCCTTTCCCAGGATGACCAGAATCATTCCTGACACAAAGATTTTACTTGTGCCCCTCTCTTTATGCCAATTATTGCTTTTCTTTTTGCAACAGCCAAAACAATTGCAAGTTGTTACTGTGCGATTAATTTTACTGGCTGCAACCACTAGCTCAGCTCACACCAGCAGTGGCTGTAATGGAAAATAATCCAAGTTCCCTTAATGGCATCTTTCCTGACTCGTGCAACTTCCCCATATGCACATCTCTGCATCTCCATTGCAGTACTCAATGGGCACAAGAGACTGTTAAAAGGCAGTACTGCTTTTGAATCTCTCTTTCAGGATGTGGGACTGTAGTTTTGAAGAGGATTACATTCAGGAAAAATTTATTTGATAAAATATTTTAGCATAGCACATTTTAATGACCTGAGACAAATTACTCAGCTGACATAGATTGTACAACATTCAACATTTTCCCTTAACGACCAGATAATATCTGAGTTACTGACTTCAAATTGAGAGGCTATTTATTCTACTATCAATCCCATGAGACCTTCCACTACTAGTGGTTTCATAAATTTATAAAATCAGAATAATTTAGGTTAGAAAAGATGTCTAAGATCATCAAGTCCAACTGTTAACTCATCACTGCCAACCCTACCACTAAACCACGTCCCTAAGTGCCACATCTAAACATCTTCTGAATACCTCCAGGGATAGTGATTCAACTACTTTCCTGGACAGCCTGTTTCAATGCCTCAAAACCCTTTCAAATAATTTTTTCCTAATATCCAACCTGAATCTCCTCTGGTGCCTTTCAAAGCCATTCCCTCTTGTCCTATCACTTACCTAGGAGAAGAGACCAACCCCACCTTGCTACAACCTCCTTTAGGTGGTTGTAGAAAGTGATGAGGTCTTCCCTGAGCCTCCTCTGCTCCATATATTATTATATGTATATATTATAAATCTAATTATAAGCAATGTATAATGAAGGCTTGAAGAGGAACTCCACATTAGCACAAGTATACATAAGCAATGTAGTCTATACACTGAATAGAAAAGAGGATCTCCTCAAAATCAGTCAGTCTAACTTAATTAAAACTTAAAAGACCTGACATGCTTGTGTTATTTTAAATATTTTCTTCTGCAGGGACTGTTGAAAAAAGTAATTTATTCTTGTTTGTCATGGTTCTATGATTTCTGTTATCGGTTTTCCACATCATATCATGTAGCACACTGGGGGTTAAAAAGTTAATGCTCCAGTTCTGTGGATTGTTGATATTTCTGGGTATGTGGTTCTCAGAAGAGAAGAACTACATCTTCCAGAAGACTTCACTGTTCTATTTCTCTTTTCCATTTAGAGGGTAAGATAAAACTGCAAGAGTCATGAGATTACACCTTATATTGCTCAGCTCTGCAATGTGTGCTCCCTAGTCGTCTTACCTTCAACATTAGAGTAAGGCCTTCGGTTTTGGACACTCTCTCTAATTTTATTTGATTTATTAGCCTCAATTCCAACTGTATTGTATTATATTGTATTATCTTGCATTCTGCTATCATATTTAGTAAATTAGTTTTCTCCCTTAGCTCGTTGCCGCTGTTTTATTTTTAGGCCCATCTCCCTACCTTTTCCCTTTTTCCCTTCCTCCTCTTCTGGGGCGTGGGTCAGTGGGTAACCCTGCCCCATTAGCCACAGAACTGGGCTGAACCAGCCCCAAACTGTTGGCACTGTTAAATTTTGCACACGTCCACACAACAAAACAATGCACTATGCCACTTACATTAAACTTGGTCGATGCCATTGAGTAGTTCTGCTGTTGTGGTTGACATAGTATGTCCGCCCCAGGTTGTCAACCTTTTCTTCCCATCCAGGAGGCAGTGGAGGAGGTGGTAACACCTCCTGACGCTGAGATGCAGAGTCATTGGAATCAATCACATCCCATTCGTGCTTAAGAATGAAAGAAAAAAAGATTTGAGTTCAAGTTACAGAGAAGTTGTACCAGTGTTGCTTACATTAGTGTATTGGTGCAGATTCTGATTTTTTTCTAAAGAGACGTAAAAAAATGACATAAATTTAAACCATTGAGAAATAGAAGAAACTCTACAATGATAGTATGCACTACATTTCAATGATAAAACCCCTATAATGCTACTGGTCTATTAAAACAGGGATTCCCAAACTTATTTGGGTGGGTGATAGTAGGGTAGTCGGATATCCAGGTGCAGATTTCCAGTCATGAAGCCAAACAGAACCAACTGCTAAATTTTGAACTCAAGACGTGACCTTTTCCTCATGAAGGATAATCTTTTTTTCCTTTCACCTTCCTACTTCCATAAAGCATACGAGAACTTCTGCTCACCACCTCTGTTCTGAATTTGATGCAAAGATAGCTGCAGTTTGACAAAGGGTCTAGAAGTTGTTGACAGCAGCAAAAAAATAACAAAAAAAAAAACACCTAAGGAACTATGTAAAAGCAGGACAACATACAGATGTTCAGATTACTCAAACATACCTTTTCTGGGAAAGATTTAAAAAAAGGAAAAATAACAATCTAAAACTAATTGTTATTTCTAAATGTATTAGATAGCTTTAAGTAACTCACTGCAACCACACTATATTTTATGCCAGTTTCATTAGCATACCCCAAAAGACTTTAATCTACCTGAGTTCAAACTGAAATCTAATTGCCATTGTGAATTCTTTATAGGTAAAATATGTATAATTGAACAGGCATAAGTTTTTATTTTACTGTAATTCAGTTATAGATTTCCCGCTACTCTTCTTGAAAATTAAAGTACAAAATTAAAGAATAGTTATGTGCTTTGTTAAATGAAACTTAAAAGCTTTTCATTACCAGTGATTTACTAGAAATACTGTTTCTGGAGGACACTACCAGAACTTTGTGGCATTATCTTACATACTTGAGTCAGGAGGATCTTATTCACAGAGGTGACAAAAATTTATTTTTAGCAGCATAACAGGCACTAAATAATGTTCAAAAATAGAGAATCTTGGGTAAAGAGAGCATCACTGTATTCATGCTGCTGAAAATTTCTTTTGTGAGAAACTATTCTTGTAACATACTTTTCAGACTAAAGTTTTGTTAAAAAATGCCTATAAATTCAAGTCAGTTATTTAGGCACTAATTACAAGACATACTACATATACAAAATAATCCATTCACTGAATAATATAACAATTGTAATTACATTAGAGCCTTTTACATTCTTATTACTTTAAGTATCAAAAAAATCAAATTACATTTAAATTTTGATAATTTCAGATTTAGGGATTACTGTTTATTTTTAACAAGTATCCAAGATTCATCCAAGATTCCTATGAAAACTTTTCACATATACACACACACACTTTTTTTGTAGATGACGAGAGAAAAAAGCCTTGACTTTGAATCGTGAGACCCTGTCTCAAGTTCCAGAGAAAGCATGGCTTTGGCTAGGCGATGAACCTGAGGTGCAGCTTTAATACATACAGATCAGTGACTGCCCAGTGACACATCAGCTGCCTCCATACCAGGACCTGGGCAGACCCCCTGAGAAGCAGCTTCCAGAGCAGAAATGTATGGCTTGGGATGACAGCCCTCATTCTCAAGTTACTAATAATGGATAGAAGTCATCTGTAAGTAAAGCAAACTTGTGCTAACATTCACTCTGTCAGCTCTAATTGCAATAATTCTTAAAATGGATGATGGCTGATAAGAGTGCTGGGAAGTCTTTAAATCTCCTGTGCCTGCATGAGTACTATTCTCTGTAAAGCCAGTGCTGCCAAAGAAATAAAGAAAAATATTCTAATAGCTAACTTGTATGGGCTTCTGAGGAAGATATACTTAGATATTAAAAACAGACCATCATGTTTATGTCAAATATAAATTATGTGGATAGATGTTCCAAATTCTTGAGCCCTCTTGGCATGTGTATGGGGACTACTGAATCGTGGCCTGAACCTCTGATTGATCACCTGAGGCAAGCAATGAGTCAGCTGTGGGAGCACAGGTGAAGGCAATTCACCTGTGCTGCCAGAAGGGGTGGAGCCTGGCTCCACCTCTTCTAGATTCCATTTAAGGGCTGACTGCAACTGTAAAAAGATCTCTCTGGAGATTACTCTTCTGGGAACCTTTTTCTGTGATCCTAGGACATGGGTAAGCTTTTCTATTTGTTTCTGATTATCCCTTTCTAACATGATAATCTTTCCAGCTATACAGTCTCTAAAGACCAGCTTAACTCCTCTGTATGCTTATCAATTATACATCTGTATACTCATTGATTATACAACATGACTTAAAAGGTCTTAGTAATGTTCTCAAAAATGAAAAAAAACCATCACCAAAACAGAGGCAGAGCAACTTGAGAATTCATTGTGCCACTTGAAATACTCTTACGTACTTGAAATAGTAGAGAAAATACCACCTAAGAGTTCTGAAAAAAGTGTGCATAGGGTGGAGAAAAGAATGTTACTACTGATACTGTTTTATCTTTCAAAATCACAACTTCTACAACTATATTCGAATCTCTAACAAACTAAATGTCTCCAGATGTATAATAATGACAAAAGGAAGATATTACTTAGTGATTTCTTGATTAAGTGTCTTACCTCAGACTCATTCCTTTGATTGCTATTTTCTTCCTCTTGGCCACTGTTTTTAGGCATATAAGCCATCTTCAATCTCAAGAAACCTTTTACGTGAGATTTGTGGCTAGAAAACAAGGAGTTAAATTTAATTCAATAACTCTTCAATACTTGCAAATAATAAACATTGAGATAAGAAATGTTTTAAAATACAAAGGTCTTCTTCCTCACCTTCTTGGTCTGAGAAGGAAATCCTTAAATGTGTATGGCCTTTCCATGATTGGGTCTTCAATCTACAAGTATGTAAGAAAATGACCAATTAGAATCAGAGAACTATAGACTCACCAAGGTTGGAGAAGATCTCCAAGACTATCCAGTCCAACCATCCATCACCAATATTTCTCACTAAACCACATCCTTCAGTACAACATCTACTAAATGTTTCTTGAAAACCTCCAGGGTCAGTGACTCCACCACCTGACCACTCTTCAGAGAAGCGTTTCCTAATGTTCAACCCAAATCTTCCTTGACACAACCTGAGGCCATTCCCTCTAATCCTAGTTCCATGGGAGAAGAGGTTGACACTCACTTTACCACGACCTCCCTTCAGGAAGTTGTAGAGTGCAATGAGGTCTCCCCTGAGCCTCCTCTTCTCCAGACTGAACAATCCCAGTTTCCTCAGTTGCTCCTCATAAGGTTTGTGTTCCAAATCACTCACCAGCTTCATTATCCTTCTCTGGGCACACTCCAGGGCCTCAATGTCTTTCTTGTAGTGAGGGGCCCAAAACTGAACACAGTACTCAAGGTACAGCCTCACCAGTGGGTGGTGTACAGAGGGATGATCACTTCCTTGCTTCTGCTGGCCACGCTATTTCTGACACGAGCCAGGATGCCATTGGCCTTCTTGGCCATCTGGGTACACTGCTGACTCATGTTCAGCCAAGTGTTGACTGTAGTGGAATTCCCAGGTCATAGCCTGAACCAGTAGTCAAGCACCTGAGTGACCACAGGAGGGGAACCTAGATCCACCCTTCCTCTCTCTCCCTCTCAGTGGTGCTTCTGGCCATGCTACTGGGAGTGCATATGCACTCAGAGCCTGTGTGGTTTGCCCCTCACCCCCAGCACATCAGGAATAGAACCAGAAAGGGCTGCAATCCTGAGTTCACACTTTTCAAGCTGTTGCCACTTATCAGAAGGGGTGAGAAAATTGCTTTTTTTTTTTGTCATCCCACTCTATAACACCTATATCCCAAATAAAGGCTCTGTCATTGCCTTTGTTTGCTTTACAGTTGATCAACACCCCCAGGTCCATTTCTTCTACAATGTCTTCCAGCTGCTCTGCCCCATGCCTGATGTGTTGCCTGGGGTTGTTGTGGCTAAATTGCAGGACCTGGCACTTGGTCTCGTTGAATTTCATACTACTGGCCTCATCCCATCAATCCAGCCTGCCCAGATCCCTCTGTAGGGCCTTCCTACCCCCAGGCAGATCAACACTTCCTACCAAGTTATCATCTGCAAACTTACTGAGGGTGCACTTAACGCCCTCATCCAGGTCATAAATGAAGACAGTGTCATGCTTTTATGATTTTTGTTAACAGTATTCCCCATCATAACATCATGTAGAGCACTGGGAATTAAAGAGTTAATGCTCTAGTTCCATGGATTGTTGATAGTTCTGGGTATACCTGTCTCAGAAGAGAACTACATATCCCAGAGGACTTTTCACTGTTTTGTTTCTGTTTTCTGTTCAGAAGGAAACATAAAACTGTTTGTAAGTCACAAGATGTCCCCTTTTCCCTTTCTGCTCGTCTCTGCAGTTGTGTGCTCTCTAGCTGTTTTGCCTTCAGCATTAGATTAGTATAATTACATTGTATTATATTGTGTTATCTTGCATTTCAATATCTTATTTACTAAATTAGCTTTCCTCCTCAGATTGTTGTTGTTTTCTTTTTAGGCCCATCTGCCTACCCTTTCCCCCATTCCCCTTTCTTGGGGCTTGGGTCTGTGGGTCCCCCTGCCCAGTCATGGAACCAGGCCAAACCAGCCCATAAACTGCTGACAGACATTGAACAGGACAGGGCCCAATACTGATCCCTGGGGAACAGCACCTGTGACTGGTCACCAGCTGGATTTAACTCCATTCACCACCAATCTCTGGGCCAGGCCATCCAGCAAAGAGTGTACCTGTCCAAGCCATGGGCTGCCAGCTTCTCCAGGAGAAGAAAAAGTGTCAAAGGCTGTGCTGAAGTCTAGGTATGCTACATCAACAGCCTTTCCCTCATCCACCAGGCGGGTCACTCGATCATAGAAGGAGATCAGGTTGGTCAGGCAGAACCTGCTGTTCATGAACCTATGCTGGCTAGGCCTGATCCCCTGGTCGTCCTGCACATGCTATGTGATCTCCCTCAAGATGATCTGCTCCATTGTCATGGTTTTGTAGTTTTTGCTATCAGTATTCCACATAACATCATGCAAAGCACGGGTAATTAAAGAGTTAATACTCCAGATACCTTGTTCTCAAAAGAGAAGAACTGCATATCCCAGACCACCTCACAGCCAGAGAAGATGATGCATCACAGAAGTCATGGGATCTGACCCCTCCTTTTTTGCTCTCACTGCCTGACAGAGAGTGCGGGGGAGCTTCCAAGCCATGTGATTTCAGGTTTGCTTGGTTTCAGAAAATCCTCTCCCCTATCTTATTTGATTTATTAGTCTCAATTTCAATTAGATTGCATTATATTGTGTTATCTTGCATTCTGATATCATAGTTAGTAAAATAAGTTTTCCTCCTTAGATCGTTGCCACTATTCTTTTTTTTTTTTTTTTTTTTTTTTTCTCTCCTTGAGCCCAGCTCCCATCTCCCTACCTCTTTTCCTTTTCCCTTCTCATTTTTGAGGGCCGGAGGTCCCATGGGCCTACTGCCCCCGTCACAGACATAGATTGATCTAGTTAACTCCGTGACATCCATATAACCTTCTCTGGCACCAAGGTCAGGCTGACAGGCCTGTAGTTCCCCAGATCCTCCTTACGACCCTTCTTGTAGATGGGAGTCACGTTGGCAAGCCTCTAGTCCTCAGAGACCGCTCTGGTTGAACAGGAATGCTGATAGATGGTGGAAACCAGCTTGGCAATCACCTCTGCCATTTCCCTCAGCACCCTCAGGTAGATCCCATCTGGCCAGTGTGGCAGTCCAGGTGGAATAGTAGGTCTCTAACTGATTTCACCTGTATTGTGGGGGGGTTTTATCCTGCTCCCCATCTGAGATTTCCAGGTCAGGGGCTAGAGTACCCCACAGATAATTGGTCTGACTATTAACAACAGATGTAAAGGCGGCTTTGAGAACCTTATCGTTTTCCTTAACTTCAGTGGTCATGTTCCACTCCACATCCAGGAAAGGTTGGAGACTTTCCTTAGCCTTCTTCTTACTGTTAATATATTTGTAAAAAGGTTTTCTGCTCTTTTACCCCAACAACCAGGTTGAGTTCAAGCTAGGATTTTGCCTTTTTGATTTTCTCCCTGCATATGCTAACAACTTCTTTGTACTCTTCCTGTTTACTATCCCTTCTTCCACAGAAAGAGGATTCTCTTTTTCTCCTGGAGCCTCAAGAAAAGCTCCCTATTCATCCACACCAGTCATCTTCACCACCAGCTCATCTTGCAGCACAGGGGGATAGCCTGCTCCCACACCTTTAAGACTTTCTTCTTGAGAAGTGACCAGCCTTTCTGAACCCCCTTGCCCTTCAGGACTGAATCCCAAGTGACCCTCCCTACCAGCATCCTGAACAGTTTTAAGTCCTCCCCCCTGGAAGTCCAAGGTAGCAGTTTTACCAGCCCCCCCTCCTGACTTTACCAAGAATTGAGAATGCTACCGTTTTGTGGTCACTCTGGTCAAGACAGCTCACAACCTCCACATCTCCCACTAGTCCTTCTGTTTGTGAACAGCAGGTCTAGTAGGGCACCTCCCCTGGTAGGCTCACTTAACAGCTGCGTCCAGAAGTTATCTTCCATACACTCTAGAAACCTCTTGAAATGCTTCATCTGCACTGTATTGTATTCCCCGAATATATCAGGGAAGTTGAAGTCCTCCCATGAGAACAAGGGCTGGTGATTACTCAGCTTCTGACAGCTGATCATAGAACACCTCATCTGTCACTGCATCCTGGTTAGGCAGTCTATAACAGACCCCCACCAGAATATCAGCCTTCTTGGCCCTCCCCCGATCAGTACTCACAGAGATTCAATCATATCATTCCCAGCCTCAAGCTCAACAACATCAAAACACTCTCTAACAGAGAGCCACTCCACCACCCTTCCTTCCTTACCTATACCTTCTGAAGAGCTTATAACCAACTGTCAACGGTTTACGGGCTGGTTTGGCCCAGTTCCATGACTAGCAGGGCAGAGGGATCCGCAGATCTGCACCTCCGGAAAAGGGAAACAGGAGACCCAAAATAATTGAAAACAGCGGCAACGATCTGAGGTGAAACAAACTAATTTACTAAACATAGTATCAGCAAAATATAACGAGAGAGAGGGAGTGCGTGCGAAAGGTGGATAGGTCTCACCACAATGCTGAGGTGAGAAGTGCAGTCCAGTTGAGCCAATGAAGAAAAGCAGACAGAGAAGAGAGCATCAAGTGACCTTGCCGGGAGTTACATCTCCTTGCTGACTGCAAAGCCCCCTGGGGAATTGTCATAGTTTTATGATTTTTGGTTATCTGTATTCCACATCATAACATCATGTAATGTTCGACTGTGGATGCTCAAGTTCCGGGTGCCTGTCTGGAGGAGAAGAACAACTACGTTCCCCAGGGGCCTTTGCGTTCAGCAAGGAGATGCAACTCCCAACAAGGTCACTTGATCTTTCTTCTTCGCCTGCGCTTCGCCGTCTGCTCGTCTCTGTCTGCTTCTCTTCATCGGCTCAACTGGACTGCACTTCTCACCTCAGCGTTGTGGTGAGACCTTTCCACCTTTCACGCACACTCTCTCTCATTATATTTTGCTGTTACTATATTTAGTAAATTAGTTTGTTTCCCCTCAGATCGTTGCCGCTGTTTTCAATTATTTTGGGTCCCCTGTTTCCTTTTTCCAGAGGTGCGGATCTGCGGATCCCTCCGCCCTGCTAGTCATGGAACCGGGCTGAACCAGCCCGTAAACCGTTGACATTCTTGGTGGAGAATGCGGGCAATTAGCTGCTATTTTGCTTTTTAGAACTAATCTCTCTCTCTGCTCTCGGAGAGCTTCGTTGGGAAAGTTTATCTTTTTCACTGGTGTTCTCTGAAAACTTGACCTGGAAAAGTCCAGGTGGACTGCCAATATTCTAGGATATTTGTA